TCATTCACCAAAGCAAAAATGCTAAGTTTTTGACAAAAAGATAAATTAACTTCTGAAAATATATAGATGAAAAATGTGATGATTCCTACTTTTAATATTTCTAAAAAAAAAGTTTCAGCAACCTCTATTGCTAAGTTTCTTTGATTGCTTGACAAATCTATTCGACCGGTTTAATTACACATCGTAGCGTAAGTGGCCGGTTTACTATGCAACTTTATAACTAAATTATTTGGGCTTAAATAAATTATCAAGGGCAGAAAGCCCACACGCAAATATGTACGTTAGCAAATTTAAATCAAAGTAATCAAAATGGTTCTAATTAATTATGATTATTACGCTTAGGACTAATTAATAAAGTGTTTCTCTATTCATTAGATGAAGGGAAATAATTTGAACTTATAAAATTTATAGGAGACCATATCATTTTAGATGTTATATAATATAATAATAATAATAATAATAATAATAATAATAATAATAAGTCTTTTCATAGAAAGGGCCGGAAGATTAAAGTGGGTTATACGATATTACGATATGTAGTAGTACAATGTTCAACTATTGCAGTCAAAAAAGCATTTTTAACTCCTTTTACATCTTTTATGGATAGTTTTCACTATTTTTTTATAACTGAAAAAGATGAAACTTTGGTTTTCATATGATTCTTTTGATCATCTAGCGTCGTATCCAAAACTAAAGATCATATTTATCTTTACTTTTGTTTTATTTTGGAATATTAATTAACTTTAGTTTCTACATTTATATTAGTAAATAGTGACCACGTTAATTACATATAGATACATCATACATATATATATATATATATATATATATGTATGTTATAAGTATATGTTAACAATGTTGAACAAGAATAATTTTGTGTGTGGATGGAAAAGAATAGCAATGCCCAAATTAATTAGTAATAAAAATTCATTACTGGTGTACTTAACTGCTTAAATTAACTAATACAGTATCAAATTTTCTTTAAAAAAAAAAGAGAAATATTGAAAGCGTAAACGAAAAACGAAACAAATCATTGGAAAGGATCGGTCAAAGAGGAATAATTAAGCTCTTTCTTTTTAACACATTTTATTTTCATTCACTTTTGTATTTGTCTTTTGTTGGGTACTGTTGAACGAATGTTTCTTTACTTCCATCACAAGACAAATAAATTATTCAATACCTATATAAGTTCTATTTTTAATCGTTTTATTCTTTTTAATTGTTTTTCTACTGGAAATTAAAGAAAATATATCATAGTTTACTTTTTCCTTTTTTTCGGATAATTAATAAACATGATTTCCAAATAGAAGTTACATGTTGATGATTGTATTTCTTCAGATCAATGTTGTTGTCCAAACGAATAGTATAATTACGTAAGATATTGATTTTTACAATATACTGACGTAAAGGAACTTGCTTTATATACAAAATAAAACTTTATTTCTCTTAAATTTATGTGAAAACTAACTAATGAGGAGGCTAAAGTAGAAGTTTCCATAACTCTAAGTCTCTAAGCTAAGTTGAAACGAGGAAACTTAAGAGATGTAAAAAGAAATGGTATAACAGTTTGGCTAAATTTCATACTCATTTTCATAATCTTCATTCTTCACTAGTCACCGGATTGCAAAAAGAAATGATTTCTTTGTTCGGTGAAAACCTAAATAATGGAAGTAAACTATAAACTTGAATAAACCAACACATTAGATGATAAGGTTGTAGATTTCAAAGAGTAATTGACTGAAAATAAAACATAGTAAGTAAGTCGACTGAAATACAGTTAGTTAATTATTTATCTGTTAAATGTTCTTTATTTTTAAGTTTTTAACCCATCAAACTGCAATCTCATTCAAACATTACATATCTGTTCATAACCGGAACTCCATGCATTTTGGATAGTCAGAAGTGAAGATCTTAGCTTATGCTTCAGTCGTCGTTCTAAAAGGCTCCAATGACTCAAATTCACTTTTACGATATATATTGTAAAATATATAAACCTAAAACAATATTGGTAGTGGAGTTGAGTCACCCAAAAACTTCTATCAAAACCACATCTTATCCTTAGTGTTTTTAATGTTTCCACTCCTGCAAAGCCTGGTGTCTCGCTACGGAACACCATGGTCGTAGCTAGGCTTGTGTTTTAAAACTTCATGAAAGCTACCAATTATTTTAGGAAAATCAGATGTAATTCCAACATTTTCAAAAAACTGTATTATATGTCATATATATACCATAAGAAGTGATTTAACATTTCATCCTGTTTGAATGGTGGTTGTGGGCCAATATCATGCATAAGATTTTCATTACACAGTCAAACACTCAACACTAACTACATACTCAAACGGGCTATATATTATAAACCGTGATGCATAATTTTCTAGGCCAATACGTGTCTAGTTAAGCCCAATATGCTTCTTTACCCCTCTTTCTATACTTTTTTTTTCATTTTGTTTACTGACTAAAATTTAGGTCGTCAAAGTTGGATAACCAAAATCTATAGAGTATAAATCGTAACGTAAGATTGATACGAATTCGAACTACTCATATCCTAGCAAACGTGAACGGATCTTGTTAGAATATATTTAGAGGAAGGAATAGTTCTAGCTCCAGAGTCCAGCGTCCAAGTATATGTTTTCTTCTAGAAACCACTTCTTACTTGTAGTATTTTGTAAGGAAACGAAAGAAGTTTCAGAAGTGGAATCTATGTTAATTGTTCAATTTATAAACCAAATTATATAATAAGAATCCGACAATATCGGGAATGTTTAGTTGACATTTCAACCTAATATCATCAATCACATATATATTTTTGCATGGTGAGTCATCCAGAGATTTATGAATCTTCCACATATAAAATAGCTAATTTGCTTTTAGCCTAAATATTTTATATTATCCAATATCTAATATTAAATATACTACAATTAATATGCACATTAAGTATTGAATAATAATAATAAGACGTTTGAATGAATTCTTAACCATAGGTCCAAAACTATATATAAAAGTTATGTCATATATAATCTCCTCCATACACGTGGTAACATAAGTAGTATGTTGCCAACGAATATTTTTATAATTATCTTTGATCACCGAGATCATGTTTGAGCCACCCATGCCACGACATTTTGACGTATAATCACAATTATATGGGAACCAAACACTGTTCGTTTCTGTTCATACATCTAAAATACAACACTTCCCCATACAAATTACTTTTCAGAAAGAGTGTGACTGTAATTGAGTCACACATTTGATCTGAGTTCTAAGGTTCGATTAAAATTTCTCCAATTTGTTTCTAAAACTCAGTTTCCGTAACGTATACAAAGTCCTGAATATATAATCACTGCATATAAAACAAAGCCGATAAAACGTACCATAATTCATTTACATTTTTTAATATCTTCCGTCCACTGCATTTCAAAGACTACGACTATAATTTGTGTATAACAAAATAAGATGTACATAGAGTTTTATACATTCACACTTAAACTACTTTAATTTTTTAATAATTATAAATAATCCAAAATCAGTGCTCCACGTCCACGTGACTACTGGTCAACTCAGATGATAAACGGGTTAAACATTTTTGTCGTTGGACGTCAAATCAACAGGATTGATAGTGTGGACATGTACGTATTTGTTTGTGCCCATCTGCTAATTCGCATGAAAATTATTGATACGTTCTCCAACATAATAATATGTATATTTTGATAAAGAAACAAAATAAATTTACCTTAGAAGTTAGAATTCTTTATCTTAGGTCATCCAATTTTTGGACGACAACGATCTATTTTTATGTTGAGGCAGATGAACCTGGTCCCTTTTAAGTAATAGGTCAGTCGTAGTGATCGCCTTCACTTTTATTGATGTATTTTTCATGATTTATAAATGCTTGAAAGAATTGAGAACTTACAACGTATGATACCGAACCGTTGATAAAAAATAAATATTTCCACAACCATAAAAAAATGTTTATTGATTGTTTTATAAAACTTTCAAATTCAGTTTACACCATTAAACAATCAATGTTTCTTTACTAACACTTGCAATAAAATTGCATATACAATTTGAAGAAATGGTTCTCATCAATGATTCATGACATCTATGCTTTCTATGATATATGATTCTTTTGTAACTTAGATTTTGGATCAATCCCACATAATTTTGCTTTTCGAAGCCACTATTTTTGTGTCTATTGATATATATATAAGTCCATGGTTATAGGTAAAAATTTGTAATAGTACCTCAAGTAAGTGATTTCATATATAGCAACATGATAGAAGATGGAGTTTTATGGTACATATGTTTACGCAAAAGAAAGCATCCAGAAGGGTCACAGATAAATAAAATTAACCATAGATTTGCTAGCATTCAAATCAAGGGACATTAAAGAATCTATTGGGCCCTATTAAGTTATTTTCAATAAAAGCTCAAGAAAAAATAAGTTGACAATCAAACTTAATCATCACCATTATTGGCCATAATCATTACGTACGCATACACATAACCATGATGTACCTATGTTTTAATATTTGAATTCTGAAATTGCCTATCATATATATATTTTTTTTTTATAAACACATCGTCTCTTAACTTTCAATGTCGTATCCTAGTAAATTAGAAAATAAATCGAGTAAATATCTATGATATTCTTGCCCTTAATTATGCTCAGACAATATGATTCGATCATAACCAAAAATAATAATTTGGAACTGTAAAGTAAAACATATATATGTATAGGGAAATATATGATGACTAAACTAATGCATATTAAGGAGAAAGATACGATAACTAATATTTCATTGTTATATATAATTAGAGAAAAGGAATCAGAATTTTGATATCGAAATTGAACGGTCAAGATTGGATCAGGAGATTATACAAACAATATAACACGTGCCTAAAAACCTCTCTGTCAGACGCTTCTTCTTTTGTCTATAAAATCATCGGCCCACTTCTTGTTTTTTGTTGATAGTACTACACTTAACAGAAAGACACAACACAAAGAAAGAAAGAACAAAACAAAACCTTCCGTTTCAAGAAAGAATCCTTCTCTCTTTTTTTGTGTGTATACCCGAAAATGGAAGATCTGGAACATGAGTACAAGAATTACTGGGAAACCACAATGTTCTTCCAGAATCAAGAACTCGAATTTGACAGGTACTTCCAGAATCTTGTGAACTGCCTTTCTATTTTTTTCTCCTTAAATCCTTTGTAACATGGTAATTATATTAACTAATGTAATGAGATTGTTGTTTTGAAAATGAATTATAAAAAAATATAGTTGGCCAATGGAGGAAGCGTTTTCAGGTTCGGGAGAGTCTAGTTCGCCGGACGGAGCAGCAACATCGCCGGCTTCTTCTAAGAACGTTGTCTCTGAGAGGAACAGACGCCAGAAGCTTAATCAGAGACTCTTTGCTCTCCGATCAGTCGTTCCCAATATTACCAAGGTCTGATTTATTCCATTAATGGTTTCTCTTAGTATTAATTTATCCAACTGTCTCTTTTTGTATCTACATAATTTAATAAATAAAAGTTTCGTCACCAGCAAATTTCTTTTGGTCGACAAAAATTAAATACGAATAAGCAGCGATTTTTTTTTTATCTCTTGTTTCTTTTAAAAAGGAAATAAAACCATACAATTTGGTTAAACCAAATCCAACCAACATTAAATAAAAAGGCAAACCAAACTTTTGATACTCTAAATCCATACTAAAATGTATTTTGGTCCCCTGATAGCGTATAATTGTGTTCGTGTAGATGATTTTATTAGGATTGTATTTAATTAAAATATTAATCATGTTTGTGTATATTATTTTAGTTGGACAAGGCCTCTGTCATCAAAGATTCAATTGATTATATGCAAGAACTTATTGAACAAGAGAAGAGGCTTGAAGCAGAGATCAGAGAGCTGGAATCACGATCAACATTACTAGAAAATCCGATAAAAGATTACGATTGCGTCAATAATTTTTCAGAAAATCCTCTCCAAGATGATTTTTCCGACAATATTTTCATGAGATCCAAGAAGGTCAAGCAGACGGATTACAACACTAGAGTACAATACTCTCCCATTGAAGTTCTCGAAGTAAGTACTAAGTACTATGTATTATATATATTTTTTTGGTTGAATAATTTTAAAATACACTTCTTTGGGAGTAAAGTTAATTATATTCCTCAAATTTTTATTAATATGAAAAACAGATGAAGGTGACATGGATGGGAGAGAAGACAGTAGTGGTATGCATAACATGTAGCAAGAAGAGAGAGACAATGTTGCAGCTTTGTAAAGTGTTGGAGTCTTTGAACCTCAACGTTCTCACTACTAACTTCTCTTCCTTCTCCTCTCGTCTCTCGACCACTCTCTTCCTCCAGGTCACACACAATCACTCTCTCTCATATTTTTACAATTTGGTAATGCGATACTAGCTAGTACAAACTACAAGATTCTAAATCCATTTAGAGAAATATGTGTGTTTGTTTCGGCTGAAGCTCATTTTGCACTGATCAACCCAAATTATAAAATGTTTATTGAAAAGATATGATAATATAGTTTAGAAGATTCTCTCTAATATGTTAATTACAATACGCTATATAAAAAGATTAGGCACTTGTCGGACTATAAAAACACACCAACCAAAAATATTTGTCTATATTTATCCTGTCGCAAGTAGCAACTATTCAAACCTCATTTTCCAAATCTTTTGTCATATTTCAAAGCTAATTCATATTCTTATTTATTTTTTGGGGTGATATTGGAAAATATGGTCGCCTTGACGGCACGTAGACAAATCTCTCGTAGGTGTCAATAACTTAGTATAGAATAAAAAGGATATGATATGCTTTAGTAAAGTAAATTGTTCTTTTATTAGATTTTTGCTTTAAAAGAAAATAAAATAGGTTTATTCAAACTATTTTATACAAAAATCACTATCAAATTCAAAAGGGTAAACCTTTAGACACGGACCCATTCTAATTACTACTTTGTTCCCACTTGTCTCCATTAAGTGGACCTTAATTCACATTACACCTTAAGTATTTACTAATTTGTCTTCTTATATAATAATATCCTAATCAAATCAATTAAAAGCTCCAATTATTGAGGTGGCCTCGAGCCCCATCACATTTTTTTTCTTTCGAAAATCGCCTTGACTTTTGTTTTTGTTTTTGAGGAGGGGTTAGATTCGCTTAAAAGTTAAATGTCATACTCCAAAAATTATTAGACTAATTTAATTACGTTTGTGTGTGTGAAATAAAATCTTAGGTGCCGCGTAAAAGCGTCGTCTGAACGAACGTATAGCAGCACCACAAAAACGTGGCTAATATATATATATATATACTACTCCTATAATATAAACCTCACGTTTGTCTCTTTCTCATTCACTCGTTATTAGCACGTGACTTTTTCCTCCCACTATTATACCTTACATTAGTTCTTTATCCAAATTAAACAATAGTAAAATGCCGGCTAAGCTAATTTCGTCTGCTAATTAGCAACTTTCATAGGAGATGATTGAACGTTTAATTAATGTTAAGCTAGAATATATGTTCTTTAGTAACCCCTTTCATTATGCTAGTTACTAATTTTGGTTAAATATATTACATAAAAGGTCTCTTCATAGTAGTTCCTAAACCTTATTCTTGTTTGGATTCGTTAAGAGTTATTATTTTTGTTTCTGTTTTATCACTTTCTCCAATCTACTGTAGTTTCTTATCATTCAAATACTAGGACTTTGGTTAATATAGAAGAATCTAATTACACCTAAAGCTAGTTTCTTTTATTTTGAAAATGTTAGTTTTCGTGATCCAACATTAGATTTCGTGTAGGTTGGAAAGGTAAACCTACAAACATATAGTAATAGCATATATCGTTTATAACATTTCCTTAAACACAAATTAATATAATCAGACGCTAAAAATACAGTAAGGTAATAGAGACAAGAGTGGGGAATCATGGGGAGTTGGTGAAATATTTGAGCTCCAATCATTATATAAACAAATACAAAAGTCGATCATTTCATTTTCAAAACCTGTCTTTATCTTTCTTTTATATATACAAAAGTAATGACTTTACACTCCTAATCTAATTTCCACTCGAAATAATTATATTACTTATGCATGCTTTGTCGTATATAAACAGATTTGATCAGTTGTGGTTTTCCTAAACATATTTTATTCCAAATAAGCTCGTAAGCTCGAATTAATACTTTGATTATACAGCATGTGAGTTAGATATAGTTTCGAATAACCTTGTATATAATTATGGTAATGCAGGCGGATGAAGAGGAAAGCAATGCGGTAGAGGCCAAGATACAAATGGCAATTGCAGCTTATAACGATCCAAATTATCTTATCAACTTCTAAATCAGATTTTTTTTTTTCTTTCTATATGTGAAGAGGTACATTGTTGTAAGGGTTTATTTATCTTCTGAGCTACAAAACGTCACGTCTGATGGTATTACAATAATAATACATGCACGTTCCTTTATGAAAACTCAAAACTATACACATATCTAATAAATGTCCCATTTAAATTTTAAGTAGTGACAATCCAACTCGAGCTGTTGGATTCAAACACATATAAAGAAAAAGGTTAAGAAAAAAAGCAAATTAGGACTTTTTATAAGAAGATTATCGTGTGGATGCTTTTTGTTTTTGATTGATGAACAGAAGAAAACAAATGCATATTGTAGATAAAGAGATATGCCATTTGTTTCTATTTGATCTGTAAAGTTAGACAACACATGTTTCTCACCTTACAAAAGTGACGTACAGTAAGCTTCTTAAGGGGACATATGTTCTTCAGGCAATTATAGATTTCTTCAGGCAATTAAAGAAAACTGTATTAGAACACAACTAAAATTCTATTTTTAAAAATCCCAGATTTTATTTTTTCCTGGGAGTTCTCTGTAGTTTAAATGACACATACAAACTGAATAATACAAAAACTACATTAGGTATTCTTGAGACCTAAGTTTCCAAAAGAATCTAAACAATACCAAAACTTCTGCAATGGATTCTTTTTTTTAATATAATTATTATTATTGTTTACCTCTTCTCCATGATCTCTGCTATTGGAACATACACTACTGAGTCTTCTTCAAGTAAAGAAGAAGAAGACTTGCCTAACCTTTTCCGGCCTTTCGGTGTTTTAAATCTCTCAAGCCTCTGAGTCACGTCCAGCAACTTGTTTTCTGTTCTACAAAGCATCTCCATTACTGCTTCGAATGCTTCCTCTTCTGTCATCTTGCTCTCTGTCTCTTCCTCCTCTCCTGTCATCTTGCTCTCTGTCTCCTCCTCCTCCTCTTCAGCTACCTTTAAGCTCATTTCGCTTCTTAGCTCTTCATGTGGCTGAACACAATTAAAACAGATGACTTACAAAATCTAAAATTTTCCAAAATCACTGGTCAAGGCAAGTTTATGGAAGTAGAACTGCGAGAGTTTTTATTTTAAATATGTTGCATAATCTCATTTTGCCGAAATGGTTAATTTGTATCTTACCTCTTTGTTCGTCTTACTCTCTGTCTCTTTCTCCTTTACAGCAGTTTTTAAGCTAATTTCGCTGCTTAGCTCTTCATGTGGCTGAACACAATAAGAAAACAACTTTATAACTCTAAAATTCTTCAAAACCATTGGGCAAGGCAGAAGCAGTAACTAATCATGGTATTTTTGATAATATATATGTTCTTATAAACTTATTTTGGCAAAAAGGGCTAATTTCTATCTTACCACTAGAGCAAAAGACGAGTCATTCTGTTCCAGATACTGTTGTGTTTCAACTGTGAGTGTAGGATAGGAGACATTGGCCTGTTGAATCTCCTCCTGGTTGTTATTACAGGGAGAGAGAATTTTCTGACTGGTAGCTGAATCATTAAATCCGGGTGGGACAGTCTCATCCAAAGTATCTTGAACTTCATTTGCATCTATGTTGTTCTCCATGACTGCTTCTGGTCCAGAGTCTCCACCAGAGACTGTCTTAGTATCCTCAGGAACCTCCTGGTTGTTATTAGAGGGAGAAATAGTTTTCTGATTCGTAACGAAATCATTATATCCGGGTGGAAAAGTCTCCTCCAAAGTATTTTGAGCTTCGTTTGTATCTGTGTTGGTCTCCATGACTGCTTCTGGTCCAGAGACCATCTTAGAATGCTCAGGTTGTTTCACGCTCTCCGCCTGTCATACAAAAAGAATTGACTTCATGATCGATCTCACTGTAGTCTCTTAAGGGATCCAGATAATGACATAAATTTTCACATGTGAGAATGAAGCAAGTAATTACACAGTTCAGTAACGAGTTATTTACCCTCCTATTCCTCAGTGCCATATACCGTGAATTTTTAAACCATTTGCTGACCTGAAATAAGAAATCTAAGCATGTGAAGAACAAAGCAAAACTAAGAAAACCATATGTTCGTTAGCTCTTTGAATGAGCCTTATAACCTTCCAATAATCAAAGAAACACTGGTAGATAAAAAAAAATCTGGTACACGTTTACCTTCTCTGGATCAAGACTCAGCTCTTTTGAAAGCCTATCCCTCACAGCTTTTGAAGGAAGCTCATTCTCTGCAAACACTAGGCGTAGCTTCTGGTACATTTATGCAAACAATTTCAAACTTAGTAATGGAATTTTTCTCTTCGCTTTACACATATATAAGATACTAAGGCAGGGAAGAAGCAATTTCATACCTCAACTGCAGCTTTTGGGAGTCTGAACATTGGCCTTCGACCTCCTTTATCTTCCACAGAAGCAGAAACTCTCTCACTCTGTTCTGGTATTTGTATAGCAACTTGATCTTTCTTACTGCTTTCACACATACTTACAGGGTTGCTTGTTACATCAGATTCTTTTTTTCTCCTCCTTCGGTCATTCGGACCCCAGTCTTCATCTTCACTACCTTGCTCTTGCATAACTGCATCCTTTCCAAACATTTCCTGATAAATAAAATAAAGCCCAAAAATTCACCACCAAAACAACCATCAGTAACAAACTATAGCAGATTAACATTGAAGGGATTTAAAAATCCATGGACATGGTACTCACATAGTACAACTTTGTATAGTCAACAGTCCTTCGCTGTCTTGGCCCACATACAGTTTCTTCATTACTTGTTTCGCATTGGTCCATCATATTGCTAAATCCATTGCCTTCCCATGATCCTGTTGAAAGGGCTACACCATCAGAAGATAAGCTCACGCTAGTTGACATGCTTTCTCCATCATTATCACCAACACCACCACCACTAACGTTGCTGCTGCTTCCTACACCGTTTTCCCTCATTTCAGGGTCATAGTCATCATCCTTAGAGTCATCAGAAGGCCAATCCGCTTCGTTGTTAAGTCCAGCTTCAGATCCAATAGGAAGACTAGCTTCCTCTTTGAAGATATCCTTATCCACATAAAAAAAAAAGGTAAGGTTTTCAAAATTAGAAGTGTAAAGCAGCGTTCTGATAGTACAGTGTCTCTATCTCGCGTTCACACCAAATGAAAGACTCTGGTACTTGCAAAAGTTTACCTGCCAGTTGCTATCCTCAGGGAAATGCGTTCCAATTTGTGCATTCATTGTGTCGATGATTTCCATCTTGCAATCACAAACTTTGCAAAACCAGCCCTGATCTCCGGGAGGTACTGTTGAGATTATTGAAAGCAATATGATTTGAGGAAAAAGAAAATCAGGCGGAGAAGCCACACTGTATAATTTCTCTAAGACAATAAATATGTATATGTAATAGATAGCCAAAGCATACTGTTCTCTGTTTCCAAAGGAGGGTCAAGGCACTTCTGGTGAAATGCTCGATTACACGTTCCATCACAAAGTATTATATCATTTTCCAGAAAAGCTTCACGAGAATTGCATTCCGCACAAAATATCTACAGAAGATAAAAACTCCATCAGGGAATTCTCAAGTGTAATTTTTAGCCTCGCCCATAAAGATATGAATTAGAGAATGGAGATGGTGTTGTGGAAATAAATAGAGATTTATTTACATGGTCATGATGAATAGATCCATCTGGAGCTATCGCTTTATCTTCCATGCTTCCCACAGAACTAAGCAGGTCCAGCTGGCGAATGGCGTCGCGTAGTCCAAGCTTGCAGTTTAAAATCTGTTTTCGTGCTCTCTCAAGCTCCTTGTCTGGTCTTATCTTTTCTCGGCTGAAGAAAACATGGAAATACATGAGTCGAACCAAATAACTGTTTGCAACTAAATGAGGCCACAATTGTTTCTTTGCGTTTGCGTTTGCATTTCAAATCTGAAACTAAAGATAATAGTTAGAATAATATAAGATGTAAACGCAAATGCAAATGCTAAGTTCGTTTCTTTAACATTTGAAACAATTGTGGCCTAAGGAAAACATAGGAGAATAGACATTCAATTTGGAAACAGAAAAAGGCTGAATACAAACAAAAAAAAATCTATGGACCGAACTATTGACAGCTATAAAGTTAATCAAACGCGTTTGTAACGCATAAGAAATTATTCTTTTGGTAATATATCCGAGAAAATCGTAATTGCAAACGGTTTTCCATATAAATACCCCGAGTCAATAGAGAAGAAATTTAAATTCTGTACCTCTGACCTTTCCAACCTTCAGTTGCATATGCATCGATAAGATTCTGCTGCATCTTCATCTTAATGAGCAAATACCTTGTTCGCCTCTGCAACCGTAACGAATCATCTACCTCAACCTTATTATCCTTCTGCTGTCTCTTACTTTTCCTCTTCCTTGTTTTCTTACCTTTCTCTTCCTTCTCCTCACAATGTACCCATCCTCGAGAACACTTCTTGTTTCTAGATTTTGAACATAGTTCTTCTTCGGTTTTGCGCTTATTAGGCTTAGGATTCCTCTTATTTGATGTTTCTTTACCTTTCTTGACAAGTGATGAAAGTAAGGTAGACCCAATTCTCTGAACTGAAACACAAGCCTTTTCGGTGGTTTCGCGCGTAATTCTCCCCTTTGTTTCAATCTCCTCCATATTGATTTCCCCGATCACAGAGACTTATACTCCTCTTTAGCAGATCATTTCATATAAGATCTTACCCTGAAAATTCCAACACCCTTCCCAAATCAGTTTCCTCACATACACACAAACCCAACTTGGTTTTGAAATCATATCTATGGTTTCTAATCCCCCATTTAATTGACATCCCACAGTGAAAAGGACTGAATCAAGTCTCATACGATTTAAGAAACAACACACAGTATACACATTAAAGGCACTACTTAATTCAGACATGTTTTTGACTTTTAATTGCAGATTTCTGATTGAAGCTGACACTTTTATACAAGATAAAGAAACAGATCGAACACTAGACTAACCAAAACACAACACTAATCTCTTCACATCTTCTTTAATCATGCTCATGACCCAAAAACATTACAAAAAAATTCAAAAAACACAAAAAATTCGAAGTTCTAAAACTAATCTGAGCAAAGGAATCGTAACTTTGATTAATCGGAAGAACCAACACATCAGACATATACATAGAACAAAAGCCTAAGTTGTTTAACAGAAGAAAGCAAAACCTGGAAGAGGGTAAGGAGATGGGTTTGAGGAATTGGGAAGGATGAAGCCAAAGTGAAGATCTTTACAACAAGGGAAATGGGAGATACTGTAATTTTGAGGATTGAGTCACCGGCGGCGAGTTGAAAGGGTGCTTTCAACGGTCGGGTTTTTACGTCACTCTCCGTTCCTCCTTTGCTACTTTACTTTGGCAATGGTACTGCTCCGCTACTCTTATTTATTTTCGTTTTGAGTCCCTGTATTTAGACATCTTCTTTTAAATTCCTATTCAGGTTTTAGATATTACATTTTTATGCCAAATTAACAAATAATTTTTTCCTTTTCAGTTGCGAATATTGAAATTTATTTCCTTTTTTGTGTTTTCTTATGTTTGACTCAGCCCATAATAATTGGACTTCTTGTATATATGACTCAGCCCAGTTAGAATTAGTTATCGGGCTGAATAATCGCCAGCTTAAGCCCATTATGGGAAAATAACAAGTGAGATTAATCAGAAAAATGAATTGGACAAAAAGTTAAAGCTAAATCACTATCCAAATTTGCATCGAATCAACTTTCAGATGAGTATATCTGGTACTACGTATGGTATATCTATCAAAGTAATCCATTGCCATAATTCAGATGTTATATCATAGTAATCCATCACCATAATACATATTCAAGTAAACTAATCTAATCCCAAACGACTATAAATTAACAAGAAAACATATATTGGATTGAAAGATTTTGGATCGAGTAAATGATGAATCGAGAAACCGGACCCGTAACTGGACAACCCTAATTTAAGAGGTGGGGCGGGTAACTGTGGTCGGCCAAATTAAAAAGCTAGTTACTTTGTATATTTTTCAACTATTTTAGAACATCAATGTTGGGTCGGTTTGGTTTGGTCCATATAGTAATGAATATATCGTCGGCCGAGCTAGCCAAATAAATCAAGACGATTTGGACGGTAAATTACCTAAACTCTTATATCTAAAATTCTGCATATTTTACATAAAATATGTACTGTTTTTTAATAGATCTCACATGACTACATATGGACTTTGTTTGTATGCATCCACCACATGGGTGGAAGTGAGATAAGAACAAAGCTAGCCCGTATAAATATGTTTCACATTGTTGATATATTCACATTAAGTTTTGTAAATAATCACCGACTTTAAATTTTGTGGTCTCGAGCTAGTTGATTGCAAGAAAACAAAATTATAATTTATGTCTCTATATTAAATGGGATGCATTACTCGGAAATGTCATCTTATGGAGATGTGGGGTTAAAATGTAGTATTATTCTCTTTTTATATGCATGGGAGAGGGGGTCCTAAGAATACAATGAACGTCATCTTAACGTTGCTTTGCTAAATTATTGTTATCTTCCCTTCAAATCTAAATGATGGGCTATAGAGACAAACCGAGAAAAAATTGTCTGCTAATGAAATAACATTTTAAAACTATAATAATTTCGTTGATTATCTTTTAAGACTATATATATGTGTGCGTGTCTTTTTTGTGACATGTTCGATGGCATAGTCTGATCTAACTACACCAAGATTAATTTTCTTTTTTCGTTAATCGTTTATATGTAGAAATACATAGCCTCATAATTCACTCATAACTGCGTATATAATTGATTTTCTGAACTTCTGAAAATGTGCATGTAGGCTGTAGATTTTGTTTCATCGATCCATCACATTAATACACAGTTATAAATCTTGATATCTAAACTTGGCACACTAGTAATAATATTGAAGTTCTCAGGTACGGTTGTTTCGTCAAGATATATATAGTTAATTCGTTCATGTAAATATGCGACTACTAAATTACTAATCAACTAGGTTCGGATCCGCGCTACAACGCGGAGGAAATAATTACATATATATAACTTTTATCGGATTAGAATATGTTACATTTTAATTTTGTTAGAGTACAGTAAATATATGATTACGGTAAATCATATATTTGTATAATAAGTTTAAATAAAATAAAAAAAGGAAAAAACGAGTAAATAATCATATACTGAGTTTTGATACAATTAAAAACACGGTGAAAATTTAATAGCACGAAATAATATTTGTCGATAAATTATTCATTTTGACCATTTTTGTAGTAAAAGTAGGAATATACGTAAAAATTACATATTTACAATATATTTTTTGAAAGTCCAACCCGTAACAGAATTCATTTCCTAAAAAACATTATTTGTAACTCGTTTTATCATTATAATTGTGATTTTAACAAACTACCCGTGAATTATCTAAAATTTACATAGTTTGATATATAATATATATTATCAATAAAAATTATGTCTCCAAAATTACATTTATGTCTTCAAAAAAATATTTCGATATTTTAAATTCTAATAGTTTTATATATTTGAACCTTTTATTTATAATATTTTGAAACTATTTTAAATTTTAAATATGCTCATGTAACAATGGTTTTAATATTGGTCATACTTATAATGATTTTAAACCGTTGTCCAAAATATTTAACCGAGTGTAGTTGAATATTATATGTCCGTTTTGAAAAATCCAAATTGCAACATATGCAAAAAAAAAGTTAAATTTTTATTAAATATTTATATTATATAGTATAATATCATAAATTAAAAATAATATCAAATAAAAGTGAAAGAAAAATAATATTTTTTAAATAGATTGTATTAAATTAGTTAGAGAAATATTAGTAAATCTTATAATTAGTTATGGAAATAATACAATCCTAAAATTAGATTTGGAAAGTATCCGGTGTATGTATCCAAACCCATTAATCTATCCAATTTTAAAAGATCCAATTAAAAATTTCGGGTAATTTTTTGAAATTGACCCGACCCGGAAACACTTTTTGTACTTCTCTTTTACTAATATAGGGATGATATATATTGTATATACGTACATACTATATACTGAGTTATTTGGATGTCATATTCCTTGCCCCCAAAAAAAAATCAACACTAAAAAAAAATTATATAAGCTTTTCGTTAATCTTTTTCTTATGGTCATTAATATAATTATATGTTATGGTGCATATCAGCATATGCAGATGTACTTGTATACATAATATATACATATATACCTAATTTACCTAAACATATTAAAATGAATGTATTATTTGCAGATGGATCCAGTTTTGTAATTGCTTCCAATTAGCTACAACCAAAACTTAGATTATAAACAAACATAAGTACACGAGGAGATTAGTGATTTGTGGTTAGTGAGTTGCTTTCGCCTAAACATCGGATAATGTTATATAATCACTATGTGTGTTAATTCCAGTTGTCGCATCTAAATTTGTAATAAAATAAGTCATATGATTGCGATTGTAACTATTAGAGTTTTTTTCTCTCTCAAAAGATAATTTTCATAATTACCTTGTCTTAAATTTATAATGAGGACCAATTCTCTTGTAAACGTTTTAAAGTTTTTTAAAGGAAAAAAAAAACATGAAAGTAGAAGGTTTTAGGAGTTTTCTTTAACAAAAAAAAGAAGGTTTTAGGAGTTTTGGATTATATCTAAAATATAAGATAAACAATTTATTGGCGGTGAAAGACCGAAAGTGATGTGTGTTATACTATTCTTTTTGTCCATCGGAAAAGATGGAGATGATGCAGAGATATCCACGTTGAAGACTCTATGTGGCGTAGAAGATTAGGAATGATATGTTGAATAAAATAAAATATTATAATGGCACAATAATATAAAATACCATACTAATATTATTTTCAAAAGGGAAAAATCAATTTGAGGACCGACTCTTACCAACAACAACTATTTTGGCTCTTTTTGGATGCATCTAAAACTACACCAATCATTCATTCATTCATGCGCTGCTGCCTCAAAGATAATATGACTTTTGGCGTCCACGAAATAAAAACTGTTATTCTCCCCAAATAATACATGTTAAGGAATGATTAAGTACTATTTTGGTGTTTGGTCGTCGTGTTTTATCGTTTTCTACAAGTAAACGTAGTATATTTGATAAAGACTACTACTTAAAGGTGTGGATATGTACAGATCGAGTCATCGGGTCGAGTTTTATAGACTCGTGTTGGGGCGAGTTTTAAAAAGTTCTAAGAGAACATTAAGGTAAAATATGCGATTTTATATATATAGGTAGGATTTAATTTTATTAGAGAATGATAAACCAGGTTTAGATTCATAATTTTATGAATCATGATGTAAACTGTCTTTATGTATATTAATGTCATCTTTTTTTTTTGCTAAATAATGTCATCTTTCATATACAAAATCTGGTATCAATCTGCAATTATTGATAGCCAAAGAAGGAAAAGAAAAGAACAACCCTAGAGTAGAATATGTAGTACAATCCCGTTGTTTTTAATTAGGTCACGTGAATTTTACATGAATACCAATACCTTTGGTTTGTTTTCAACACTACTACTACTTACTACTCACGTATGTATATATAATTCTATGTATCTACATTGACACGTAATGAAGACGTGTCGTATAGGCTTACTTGGCTATGACTTTTCACAACTTGCAGTTGAAACTCGTGGTTAATGCCGCCACACCTGAAAATTCTATGAAAAATTCCACGAATATACCTTTTTTATAGACATTTTTTCTCACATAATTGAAGCCTTACTATTTTTGAGCTTTCCACTAAAACGGAAATGATACATAATTATCGATCGCATCCATAATTTGTAAGGAATGTCATACAAGCGAATCAATGCTTAGATAAGCATACAATTTTTCGATTAGCAACATATTGATTATAAGCTACTTTGTTAATGGCAACACAATTCGTAGAGTACATCTATATTATAAAATTGCTATGGTTCTTATTGTGATTCCAAAACCGTTTAGATTGTATAGAAAATTTTACTAGGTAGGTCTTAAGTACAAAACTATATCACTGTCTAAGTTACTATGTTGTTTTATAAAAAAAAAAAGAAGTTCTGATCATGTTCTTTATGGTTGATAACTATGCTATATATATGTTACAGTAGATATGGTAACTTAGGCTATATTAGAGACGACCCATAAAAAAGCGAATCAAACAGAGTGATCGTTGGGTAAAACATAAGTCATAATAGAGAAAGAACGAAATAATTCGAAGCTGATTATGACTTTATGAGTCGTTAAATTAACAATAACTGAGAAAAAGCGTATTACGTGGTAAATTAAACTCTTAATCTTTTTTTTTTTCCTGATCGTAAAAGGAAAATAAATAAAAATATTAAGTCAATAAAATAAAAAATTAAAGAAAAAAGAGAGAGAGAGAGAGGTATTAGAGAGGAGGTGCTGCTTCATCATCTTCACCACTTTGCTCCGACAGGTCACCACCTCTAGTTTGCTTTTCTCACGAAACAAACAAACTTGCTATTTCCTTCTTCTTCTTCTTCTGTGAAAAAAAAAAAAAAACACATCTTTAATCTCTCTTCCCTTTGGATTCGGAGAGAGAAGAAAAAGAATTGATTCTCTCTCTCTCTCTCCTATTTTTATTGTGTTCCGATCTGATCGGACGTTTTTACATTTTTCTTATTATCATTTTAATTTATCGATTCTTTGTTCTGGTGTCATCGGAGAAATTTCACGGTGGCAGCTTAAAGTTTTGATTTTTATTCTTCATTTTGTTCACGAAGGAGAATATTTCTTCGTTGATTCCAATTTTGTGATAACTGGTTAAGAAGATAAGGAAAGCTCAATTATGGTTCCATCAGAGATTGAAACTCTGGCAGACGAATCTGATCATCGTTTCGCCAATCTGAGAGGCGTCCGGTGGCGTGTGAATCTCGGTGTTCTTCCGTTTCATTCTTCTTCCATCGATGACCTTCGCAAAGCTACAGCCGAATCTCGCAGAAGGTATATAGATACATCACCCCCATTGCATGAATGTTGCTCAAGTTTCCGATTTTGGGGATTGAGTAGTAGGTGTTTGTGAAACCTCTAGGATTTGAGCTTTTCTGGGTTTAGCTAGGGATCTCTAATGGCCTTTTTACAATGCTTCTTTGTCTATGTAGATATGCTGCTTTAAGGAGACGGCTCTTGATTGATCCACATTTGTCTAAAGATGTTAGAAATTCCCCTGATCTCTCTATCGACAATCCCTTATCTCAAAATCCAGGTAACATAGCATTCGAGTTTTCATCACTAGCTTTGGTTAGAATAAGTCCTAAGGCATTATACATTCTTGTCTTTAGAGGTTTTGCTGAGATTTTTCAGTGTTATATATCCATTTCTGATGGCAGATAGTACTTGGAGTCGGTTCTTTCGTAACGCCGAGCTTGAGAAAACATTGGATCAAGATTTATCAAGGTTATATCCAGAGCACTGGAGCTACTTTCAAGCTCCTGGATGTCAAGGAATGTTAAGACGTATTCTACTCTTGTGGTGCCTTAAACATCCCGAGTACGGTTATCGACAAGGTACATTAAACATATTGAAAGTTGTATACTTTTGTTACTAAAGAGTATGGTTAGTTTTTGTAATGTATATAATCTGACATTTTTCATGGGTTTTTTTTTCTAGGAATGCATGAGCTTTTGGCGCCACTGCTTTATGTACTTCATGTTGATGTAGATCGTCTCTCTGAAGTGCGTAAAAGTTATGAGGATCATTTCACAGACAGATTCGATGGTTTATCTTTCGAAGAAAGAGATATTACTTACAACTTTGATTTCAAAAAGTTTCTGGAGGATTTCACTGATGATGAGATTGGTGGTATTCAGGGAAGCTCAAAGAAAATTAAGAGTCTAGATGAGCTCGATCCCGAAATCCAGTCTATTGTGAGGTTAAGTGATGCTTATGGAGCCGAAGGTGAACTCGGGATTGTCTTGTCTGAGAAATTTATGGAGCATGATGCTTACTGCATGTTTGATGCACTAATGAATGGAGCTCATGGTTGTGTTGCAATGGCTGGATTTTTCGCTTACTCTCCAGCTAGCGGATCCCACACGGGTTTACCTCCTGTTCTTGAAGCGTGCACTGCGTTTTACCATCTTCTGTCGTTCGTTGATTCGTCTCTGCATAGCCATTTGGTTGAACTTGGAGTTGAACCTCAGTACTTTGGGCTTCGATGGTTACGCGTTATGTTTGGAAGAGAGTTTTTGCTTCAGGATTTATTGATAGTGTGGGATGAGATATTCTCAGCAGATAATACAACAAGAACAGATGAGGATAACAATACAAATCAGAGCTACAAGATCTTCGATTCTCCTCGTGGAGCTCTAATCTCAGGAATGGCTGTTTCGATGATATTATGTTTAAGATCATCATTGCTAGCTACTGAAAACGCAGCTTCTTGTCTCCAGAGACTATTGAATTTCCCAGAGAAGATTGATGTGAGGAAAATCATAGAGAAAGCTAAGTCACTACAAACTTTAGCTTTGGATGATGATGTACGGTCATCAGCTCTATCTATAAACGATGGCTTTGATCAGAGCATAAGTCCTGCAGTACCAGCGCGAACTAATAGCTTTCCTTCAGGATCCACTTCTCCTAAATCTCCACTGATAATTGCACCACAAAGTTATTGGGAGGAGAAATGGAGAATTCTACACAAGGCAGCAGAGGAAGAGAAACAGAGTCCTTTAATACAGAAGAAAAAGCCTTGGTTCAGGGTGAAAAGACTTTTCAGAACAGAGTCTGAGCCAACTCATAGCGCCAAGTCATCAAATGAGAAAACTGAAGTCAAAGTATCATCAGTCGCGCGTAACTTACTTGAAGATTTTAATCGGCAGGTCGTTTCTGAATCTCAGGAAGCTAATCCAATAGATGTTGTGAACAATGAAGATAGCATTCAAGAAATTGAGGAGGTAAACACGGATTTCGAAACTGCTGGTGAAGAGAGTACAGCAATAGAGGAGAATTCATCTGATGTTTCCTCAGATCCAAACAGTCCTCCTAGAGACTCCAACTACATTGAGAATGATTCAAATAGCAGTAACGAGTCAAATTTGTTTCCTGATGAAACAGTTAAAGATCAAGAAACAAGTGTAGTAGATCCACCTCTTTCCATTTCTTCTCAACCGAGCATCGAGTTTCCAGTAACTCAGTCTATAGATCAAGAAACAAACGTAGTAGATTCACCTCTTCCCGTTTCATCTGAACCGAGTATTGAGTTTTCAGTAACTCAGTCTCATGAAGAAGAGGATCGTGCAGATAAATCTGTGGCCATTATTAAGGAGCGTAGTAAGGTTTTACCAGGAAAGTTCCAGTGGTTTTGGAAGTTTGGACGCAATCTCCCTGCTGAGGAGACAAAATCTAATAGTGGTGAAAGTAGTAAGAGCATTTTGGTTTGCTCTTCCGAGTCGACACAGGCTTCATCATCGAGCAGCAAAGGAGACACAGACCAGAAAGTGATGAATACTCTGAAGAACCTTGGCAACTCCATGCTTGAACATATTCAGGTAATTCACTCTCATTCTCTTTCTCTAGTTCTATCATCTATGCTGAAAGTTGTGAATCAAGCGTCTGATGATTTTTAACAATATATGTTCAGGTGATCGAGTCTGTTTTCCAGCAAGAACGAGGTCAGGTTCAGGCAGGATTAATAGAGAACTTATCTAAGACCAATTTGGTCGAAAAGGGACAAATCACAGCCATGACTGCTCTCAAGGAGCTTCGGAAAATCAGTAATCTTTTGTTGGAAATGTGATGTACCTTTGATTTTTCTCGTTCAGCTCTCTGTATATATATATGTCTACTTTATTTTTTTGTAAAGTGTTGTTATTTAGAGCACGCAATAAAAAATAAAGGAAAAGTTTTTCTCATCAGCGTACTCTTGATCTCTGCGGAATTTGCTGTAGAACAACAAAGTTTTGGTTTTATGGTGATGTAAATGATGTTCTCAATAAAGATGGATGATTTTTAAGTTCCACTGCTTTGAACAATAGAGGCAAAAGCATAGAAATTGCTGCTCACATACATTAGTTTTGGAGTCTTAAGGTAAAATTTTCTAGTACTTACACATGTGATCGAGAAGACTAAAGTAGAACACAACATCTGGATCGAGAAGATGGAGAGTATGCAGAAAAAGTGTCTAATCTATGTTGTGAAAACCTGGGAGTAGTGAAGTTATGAAGCCAAAAACTATCATCTGGATCTCTTTCACTATTCCCCACCATTGATTCCCTTGGTTTCCTGCATCCACGTTTTCATTTTCATTTGCTTGGTTCCCGTTAACAGCTTGATTCTCTTGTCCCTCTGCGCAAGTAAATAGAGACAAGTTGCTTCGGCATAAGTTGTTTTTGTGATGGCTTCAGTTAACACCATGCGAGAAAGATATAGCAAACAGTATACCTGGAACTGCATCTTCATTTAGTGGCACTGCAGCAGCGGGATCATTATCAACTCTGGCAGCAGGTCTATGAGGTCGAGGTGGTGGTACTGCTGCTCTATGCATACCTTGTGAAAGCCATCGCACAAATGGTGCAAGAGCTCCAGTCTGGTATCTATCAGATTTCCAACACCAGACAACGGTTAATAACCTTTTTTTTGTCAACAAATTCCCAAAAAGAAGTTTTCAATACTTATTTAACACAGGCCGGTTTAACATATTTCAGCATAGATTCGTTGTCATACTCAAGCTTCATAGACCTTTAAAGAGTGAAACTAAACCAGATTCTCGAGACTTACAAGTATATTATGGTAGCGAAAATCACAAGAACAGCGAGCCTTTGTCTTGATCCATCTTGGTTGAACAGAAATATGACAGCAGCAAGCTTGAGTATGAGAAACAAGTCAAGCTGAAACGCAATCTGAAATCTCCTTTCCACAACGTGCCTTTGATGTGCAGGTTGCTGCTGTTGCTGACCCTGCCCGGCTTGCGCTTGATTCTCTCCCCCAGTCTCACCCTCATTACTTGGTCTAGTACTAAACAAATAAATCAAACCATCAACCCCAAAAGATCCAATATCAAGCCTAACTTTTCTACATCAACTCATCTGAAGCCAAAACGATCAGTAAAGTTGACTTAAACAATAATATGCTGCTATGAAGACGCAATGGCATTATTGAGTATGGAAGCTACTCCATGAAAACCGTGGGAGATTCAAAAGAATTACTTACGTGGGAACATTGTAAGTGAGAGGGATAAGGTAATTTGAAGGAAGACCAGCGATATGTCCTCCGAATTGATGCACAGGAACCGCATAGATCCCAGCTCCACGGTTCATTTGTTCATCGTATTGTGCAGGATTCGATCCGGGAACAAGACCCGGATAAAAAACCGTGTACATTGGAGAATCACCATTGGGATAAGCTCGAAACCCAGAAGAAGACGCTGGATCCTGTAAATTGAAACACCCAGAAATCAAATCATGAAGTCAATTCAAAACCAAAACGAACAAATTGTTTCTGAAAAATTCGCAAACCCTTAGATGATTGATCTAGAGGAAAGAGGGGAAATTTACAGTTCATCACTCATCCACAATCACTGGAGAATAAGAATCAAACGGGGAAAACTACTAAATCAAACGATCGAAGTTGAAGAAGAGCAAGTTACAGACCTGAGGTTTGATCCCAGCATCTTCAGGTTTCTTGTCAACAGAAGGTTGATGTGACGCTGAAGAAGACAACTTTTCGGGTTCTTCGGCCATTTCTCAAAGGACTAAACTTTAACGCAGAAGCTCTCGGCTCTGTTTTGAATCCGCGAGATTGTTCTTTCTTCTTCTCCTTCGTTTTCTCCAAGTTTGATATTTTTTTTTTCACGATTAGCTCTGCTCCTTCGTCAGCTTCTCCAATTAAATTTCGACACGTCAACACCAATGCTTTTGTCATTATTTATCTTTTTTTTTTTTTTGGCAAATTACATAAAACATTCTGATTCTTTATAAAAAAACGCAATTTTGGACAAAGACAATTTTTTTTTTTTTTTTGTATACTAATTAATTAGTAAAGTAATCAACTCGACATGGAATTCAATCTTGTTCATATGCTGGTTAAACCTTTTTTTTTTCTCTTCAAATATAAATCACATAAGTTTGTTGTAAGCTCCACAAAAAAACCAAACTTAAAATTTACTTTTTTTTTTTTGAATAATCAAAGAGGTTCTGGGCCAAAGCCCATACATCCCCTCAGGCCCGAAACCAAAGCATGTTATATGGTTTCGTCCCAAACGCTACTCGAACCGGCGACCTCTAAGCTTCTGCCAGAGATCTTTACCAATTGAGCTATTAGCACTTGGTTCAACTTAAAAATTTACTTTAATCAAGTCATGAGCATACAATATTACAATGCGTGCCATTAAACAAAAGACAGAACGATGTGATGTTTCAGTGTTCCAGGAATAATCTCAGACAGCAAAAAGAAAAGGAGATAAGTTGCATCCAAAGCCAAAAAAAACTATTACTCATCGGATTAACACATCGTTGGTAGAAGAAACTAGAAACATTGGACTTTCTACGTGATCCAAAAAGACTTTGATATCTCTAAAGCCATCCCCAAGTCCTTGAGTCACAACTTTTCTGGCATGGTTTACCTTGAGATCGTAACAAATAAAAGAGAACGGTCTCGGCCATCCGCTATAATGCGGAACAAATATAAGCTCGCCGGTACTAAGTGCACCCCTGAACTTAAACCATTCACCATTCCCAACTAAATTTGTCCAACAAGGAACCAATAGAGAAGTTTTTGACCATTCTTGGTTACTGACATCCTCGAGAATCCACAAGTCAAGTGTACCGCAACATATGCAATCTGTTAACGCTATCTTTCCACCGTAGTTAACCAGTTCACAAGGCCGTCGTAGACGTTTACTATCCTCAGGGAACTTAATAACATTAAATTCTTCAGATGCCAAATTAAAGCTTATTGGACACTTGGTTGGTCTATCGAGCTTAGCTACATAATACACAACCCCATTCATGCATATTCCTTTACTTTCAGGACAACCCCTTACACGATGGTCATGCTTACATTCAATCATTCTCCATTCTTCTTTAGCTCTTAAAGTGAAAACTTGATACTCCTCCGTCCCAATAACTTTACGTAGCCCATCTCTGAAGAAAGGACCATATGGATTTGTCATGCACAACACTTTGTATAGATCGTTAACGGGATCATATCCGAAAAAAAGATAAGACCAATCTTTAATCTCTTTTATAGTTTTGACTTTGGGCAAACTTACGAATTGACCAGTGCTTGGATTTCCAACCAACACTTGATTACCTTTAAAACAGCATATCAAGCCGCGGACGGGTGGAGAAAACCAATACCGAGAATCGGGTTTCGGAGTAAGAGTTGCCCTATAACAATCAGAATTCGGATCCTCCAGGGATCGGGAGATAAACGAGTGAATGTCCCGAAGGTGTACTATGAAAAGAAGACGAGGCCGAGTAGAAGCTCGAGTCAGGTACAGCTCCGTGAAATCCTTGTCGCGGATAATAGATAACCAGCGTTTACAAACGAAGCAGAGGATCGCTATGGATTCAGCCGACGATTTTAGGAGAATCTCTAGTATCAGTTCTTGAGGAATATTAGAAAACATATCGTTTTCTTCACTTTCATCTCCACGTTTCTTAGACCAAGTTAGACTTTGTCGATTTTTCTTCTTCACCTTATCCATGGGGAGGAGCTTTCTGATTTTTTTACTCTAGCTCGGGTTATTTCCTAATCGCCCGTATATTTTTGCAACTCACTCAAAACCCTAATATCAATCTTAACATTACACCCAAAAAAAGCCCTAATTAATATCATTAAGAAAAAAGTTACACTAGGTTGGCCCAATTAATCTCCAAGAAAATATGTTTTATTAGTCCGAGACAAATACAACTTACTACAAGACAAAACTGAAGCCTACACTAGGGAAGCTATAATATAATGAAGCTACAATATGTTTATGCATTGGAAGACTAGTGAAGAATCTTGGTTCACTTTGATAATGGATTCAATCTATTATTTTGATTACGGTGTCAAAGTCAAACTATAACGGGTGAAGTTAAACGGAGAAGCCATTCGATGGATAACTATGGATGGAGAGACGAATAAATCTGGCTCGGAAATGAGAACACCATCAAGTGCAAAACCTGAAGCTGAATTGTTGGTAACTACGATAGAGTGTCCAAAGAGTAGCGTAGGGATGCGAGAGAAAGGCTTCATGAGGCTTAAGACGGAGAAGTCAAGCCACTGTGGAACGATGTGGTAAGAAGCAACCAGTGGTGACGTGGCGTTGATTCCTTCCACGGATGTTTTGGGGAGGAAGAGAGTGGAAGTGAGGACTGGACCGTTGAGCTCGTCGTTGGTGTTGAGGAACGCTTCACTCCAGTCTTCGAATGAGCCGCTTGAGATCATTGCGTCTATGATTTTGGTTGCCATTTCGTTTTGCTCCGTCGTGAGAGAGGGAAGTGAAGTGGAGGATGCAGTGGTGATGATGGTAATGATCATTATGAGGAAGGGGAGGTGTTTGGTGGTTTCCATTGAAAGAATATTAAGAAAACCTTCAACTTCCTAAGTCGATATTAAAGAAACTTTTGGAGTGTTGGAGGTTTCTTTTTTCAATGTATATAAGGAAAATGTAGGGAGGACTAGTAGTAGTAGTTGGATCATGTAACATTAGTTTTGTATTTGGTTGTGGTTGGACAGTGCAAAAACTGTAATCTATTTTTGCAAGTGGATTTAACATGAGTGATGCATTGCTGATTTTGATTTTTTTCCCTACAATTTTGAGACTTTAACAAAATATAGCAATAAGATATACTATATGAATATGATGATACTACTAATGATTTGTATGCTGATGATAGTATAATTGAAGCAATATTGCTTAATTTTAGTGTTGGTGCCTTGAAATCGATACTTGCAAGTTGACGACTACTAAACAAAGGAAAGATAATCTTCGTGGATTACCAAAAAAAAAAAAAGATTGGTTGCAAGTGACAGCTGCTAGAAAATGAGTAAAAAAACATTTTTTTAAGGGAAGTGCCACAATCAGGCCTGTCTTCGTCTTAATTATGATCCATCATTACGCAACTGTATAGCCATGTAAAATAGTGACAGTGTGATTTTCCGTTGATAGAAACAGAGTCTTTACCTGTGGCAACAGTAAATAACTTTAGTGTTCTTTGCCTCCAGGTTCAGATGAGTCGTCTAGAGGGAGATTTAGGTTGACTTCCAGAGCCATATTCTGCATTATGTTAAACTCCATGTTAACTTCTAGCTCTTTTGTATATCTGAAATCAAATACCATTCAGAAACAAATGAACACAAAAAAGTATCACCGGACTCCGGTGATAAATAACTTTATTCTAGTACAACATTGTTTACCTAGGTAGAATCTCTAGAAGACAAAGAACGAAAATTGAATATGCCATTGCTCATCTACAAGTTGTCGGTGTTTTGGAAAGAGATAATACATTGGAAGTCGTGTCTGTATGCGATTTACCTAGCTTGTTTCATCAATCACCTATCATATCCAAGATCTTGCTTTATTCTACATCAGCAGAAACATTGCCTCACTCGGCATGTTGTTCTTATCTAGCAAAACTGCTATATCAATCTGCAACAGATCCATAGATTAGGCTTTATGATTATGTATCCGTCAATCATCCTTTTGATCTTCTTCTTCTCAGCATTGCATCGCATACTTTTGCTGCATCTGCATTCTGTCTAACATTATGAACTCTAATGATATTGGCACCTCCTAAAATTCCTGCAGTAACCGAAGCAACAGTTGCAGCATCTCTGTCAGTGGCCTCAGGACGCCCACATATATCTCCCAAAAATCTCTTCCTTGAGGGTCCTATGAGTATAGGCGCATGAGACACTGCTGTACTTCTCTTAGCCATCTCTTCTCGGATTTTTGGCAGATTCATAATAATATCAAGATTATGATCGACACTCTTGGAAAACCCAACCCCTGGATCGATCATAACCCTCCAAGCTGGAATCCCAGAGAGTTCTGCATCTCTTACTCTCAAGTAGAGTTCAGAAGCAACATCCTTGCAGACATCACCGTATTGCAAATTCTCTTTGTTCTGCATAGTACATGGATCTCCTCTCATGTGCATGGCCATATAAGGAACCCCAGAGTCTGCCACAACCTTGTGCATATTTGGGTCTAAAGTTCCCGCAGATACATCATTTAGAATGTCAGCTCCATTGCTTATTGCTTCTGAAGCAACCTCAGAGTTGAAAGTGTCCACGGATATGAGCTTTCCCTCCATCTCTGGCATACCACGAACAGCTTCTAAAACTGGCAGTAGTCTATCTATCTCTTCTTGACTAGAAATTCTTGAAGCCATTGGTCGTGTGGATTGTGCTCCAATATCAATTATATCTGCACCCTCGGAAACCATAGAGCGAACCTGAGAAACTGCAGAATCTACCGACTGAAAGCGTCCTCCATCACTAAAACTGTCAGGGGTAATATTAATTATACCCATTACATGAGTCTTGTTTGAAAAATCCCAAAGTTGATCCCCTATTGGGAAAACCCTTTGTATACCATCTTTTCCAATCAGTGATTCGCCACCAAGTCTCTCCCACGCTTGGAAAATTCCACCGGGATGTATCGCGAGTGAATGCCAATGAGCAACAGTATCATTGTCAACAGCTGATCCAAGTAAATCAACCAAAGGTGCCATTACAAATGACCTTTCCCAGAGTCTCTCATGGGGTATGATTAGCTTATCAGAACATATTCTCAGCTTCCCATAAAACAAAATATCCAAGTCAAGTGGTCTTGGTCCATACCGTATACCATCCTCACGTCCCATGTCTCTCTCAATTGTCTTGAGAACACTCAATAGCTCATGAGGTCCAAGCTTGGTGACACCTCTCACTGCAGCATTGAGAAACCTAGGTTGGTCAGTCACATGAACAGGAGCCGTTTCGTACAAACAACTATGCCTTGTTAAGCAAATGCCACTACGCTTCATCAAGCGCAAAGCCTCTCTGAAATTTTGCATCCGGTTTCCAATATTACTTCCCAAAGCAATTACAATTTCATGCTCTGTAGATTGAACTTCGACAGTTGTAGTAGTTGTTGCCGAGGTTGAGAAAGCTGAGGTACGTAATGCTGCAATACAAGTACCAAATCACACACCTTTAGAAACTTTTCTAATTGGCAAATTAAATCAGCAGTGGAAACAATCAACTACAATGAAGAGAAGATAGATGAAGCTGGTTAACTTAAATGAAGAGAAACCTGGAGGATTGAATAAAGAGGAACAGGATGAACCAAGTGGAGACACGAAGGATAGAGATTTCGACGAATAGTATCGCTGCAAGCAGACCCGACTTGGAGCCACAGCCACGATCACCGCCGGAGGCGGTTCCGAGAAGCGGCGGAGAAGGAATCTCCCGGTGTGGAGTAAGGTTTGTGAAATTAAACGCGCCATTTTTTTAGAGAGAGAGAGTAGAGAGAGTGAGATGCAATCTAATGTTTGTGCTGATGAGTGATGACTGAAGAAGACGATGAAGGTGTGAAACGGGTACCAACTTGGATCCGAAAATCTAGCTCGGATTAGACCCGACTCGTGTATCCCAAATGCAATAACCAACAAAACCAACGGAATACATAATTATGCACGAATTAAAATACTACCGAAGATAATCAATTAAAACAATCCCATCGAAGAAAGTAGAAACCGAATTATACAAAACATTAAACATCGAAATCTAACCAAACCGGATTAGATAACCGAAATCCGAATCAAAGGAATGAATATATTTTATGGGCATTTTTGCCCTTGTCTGTTGTTTTTAGCTTCCAAGAGTCATTTCTCGATCCCCAATTCGTGGATTAGGGTTAAAAGGAACCATTTTTATTCTCGTCGCCCGAACAACAAATCCAGATCGAAGAAGATCCAATGGCGTTGAGAAGGGTTTACAATGAAATCAAGGGGAAGAAGGTGACAGAGCTTCCCGGCTATTTCAAATCGACGTTTTCAACGGAGACCGTGAAGACTTCTGTGAAGAGAGGACTTGATAACTACAACGACAAATACATCCAGACCAGCTCCGTCGAGCCTCTCCTTCATATCTGCTTCGGAGGCATGGCCTTCTCTTACCTTGTCGCTCTCCCCAATGAGCGTCGCCATCTTGAGCACCAGCAGCATGCTAAGGAGCACGGTGGTCATTGATCTCGAGGGAATCGTTTCGATCTCGAGATGATTTTAGGTAATTTGTTATTCTATCCTTTTGGCTGGTTTTTGATTTTCCCAAATTTTGGATTTTGGGATAAATGTGCATCATTTGTGAATTGTGATTTGATTATATGATTTGGGAACTTGTATCTGTGAATTGATTGATTTCAAGTATATGCACATTCCATCAAAGTCATATTTGCCTTCGTTTGCTCAATGATAAAAGGATTCATCTTTCGTTCTTGTAAGAGTGGATGAATAGCAAAAGTAGTGGACTTTTTGTAATCTGGAAATGGGTTCAAAATCTTTCTTAAATTTCTATGTGATTTCAAAATGGTTGAGATAGATGTGTGGTTTAGCGACAAAGTGACTATGTTTAGCTCATTCAATCAATGTTGGCTCTTTGGTAGTTCAATTATCACATCACATTGATTCTCATTGTTCTTTGGAGGGTTTGATGGTTGGATTCTATACGTGAAGTTTTGTATATTAATGTCATGAAGCACAGTTTATCGATTTCTAATGTATGGTTCTTGTGCTTATGAATGCAGGGGTTGCTTTGAAATCTTTCTGCGATGGTGACAACTCAAGAATTGTGTCTTTATTGTTTTGTTTTCTCGAAATTTTCCTGGATATTGTTGACCTAAAGGAAAAGCCTTTGTTTTGAATTTGCACTCGATAAGGCAAATAATTGAAGCATCATGATATATCCATGAATAATATACTGTTTTGTTTCCGGTGAAGCTGTGGATTCAGCATTTGTGTTATCATATTTGATTGATGCGGTCTGTATACTTGGATTGAGCCGAAGATGATGCATAATCGATTTATAAACCTCTCTATTCATTTCCTTCATATCAAAGCTTGCTGTTTTGTTCTTGGTGGCAGGATCAGTTCTCTGGACTTATGATTATGCTATTTGAGAATTATTTCAATCACATTGACCACTTACACTTTTTTAAAAAAACTTTTATTTATGATAAATTACAGATTTCTGTCGATACTAATTGGCACTACAAAATTAGAGTTGAATCATCTCCATTCTCAATTATGTAGGATATTCAAAAATGAAAAATCCAACAATAATGAAAGTATGAAACATTGACAATTTGACACTCTTCCTACCTGTTAGTATTGGGCCAAAACAAGACGTCAACAAATTTAAACTCAAACCACATCAAAGGCCCATTGGCCAGCTTTTACTTTGCTTTGGTGGCTTGCTATGCAGAAATTCGTGGTCGACATCACAAAAGATGTGCTTTCAAGTTCACATGCATCTCGTTCCAAGGATTTTTTTTTTAATTTTAACTGTAAAAAAAAACAAGATAGTGAGATGTTGGTTTAAGCAGTTATGAGGAATCTATGTAGAACAACACAACACATGAACATGATTATAATATATATCATATATGTGTAATCAGTGAACGTATCGATATAGTAAAGTTAACTTAAAGTGTTTTATACTGAAAACAAGTTAGTGCTAAGTCGAAATCAGAGTGTTTGGGAGTATTATATCTTCACGGGAAGCCAAAACGTCTTTTCCTTTCTTATCATGGTAAGTAGATGAAAAAACGTATAGCTAATTGGTGCTATATGGCATCCCAATCTTGATTAAGAGATACATCGAACTTTATCAAAATAAAATCATATATTGACACCAAAGAGAGAGAGAGAGAGAGAGAGAGAGAGATAAGAAGAACTAGATAGAAGATGATGAATGTTCTATAGCTGTAGCAGTAGCCACCTCTATCATTAATGAAACTTTCATACTCAGTTAGGTCGCAAAGTTGAAAACACAAATAAAAGAAAGGGCCATTTAATAATGTGTGTGTATATATATAGATGACATAAATACTAAAAATTCAATAGCATATTTGTCGTTACACCTAAATTTAAACACTTATAAAAAAAAAATGATTGTTATAGTAGTAATAGATTATAGATAGACCTCCCTCACGAAAAAGTGAATTTGTCACGATTTCGAACATAACGAATTCTGTCTCTTTTGACCGAAAGACGATTTTTAAAAAGTTACTTTTAAAACAAACAAAACAAAAGGATTCTCCATAATCAGTGGGCAGACCATATAACAATGAATTACTCTCTCTTTACATAATCTCTTTCACTCTTGACATAGTGACAAGGAAACAAAGCTATTAGAAGAGCAATAGATAAAAAATAAGGGTTTGATTATGGTTGGTGTAAGAGGAATCAAAACAAAAATTAGGACAAGAAGGAAACGTCACATGACACATGATGTGTTTGGACTAAACGACATATCACCTGGGAACAATCCTTCACATGCCCCTTTCTATCTTTACTTTATACGAGACATGCACATACAACATATACACCTCCCTTTTACTTCAAAACTACCTTACAAACCATCTTTTGTATTCTTCTCTACTGCTAATGATGTTATATATATAAACCTCGCTGTGTTCACAATAGTAACTAGATGTTTCAGTACGATATATACCAATGAATTATTAAGAGGATTCTCTTACAATGTACTTAGTACCATTTATATATGTGTGTATCTCTTCATAATCACTCCAACAAACAAAAAACTATGAGCTGTGTAATCCAAAAAAGAAAGAGCGCAATCAAGTGGTAAATTAGTTTACTGTGTTCACCATAATGCTTTTTTTGGAGGGAAGCCGCGTTTTATGATTGAAACATGAATTCTAATCAAACATCATTACTACTGATCATCAATTTATATTAATCTTATAATAATAATACCTTTTTACTTTAGGTCCCCTCAGCAAATTATGAAATTTTATAAATATTTTATAAAATATTATAGTTGTATACTTTTTCTTTTACTACCTTTCCTCACAAAATTCATTTTAGTCAACTAGAAATCTTTTCTCTCCCTCCCTCCTTGGACTTTTCTCATTCCTATTTATTTCTTCTACCTCTTTTTGCGTATAAACACCCTCATCTATTCATTATTTCCTAATTCATCCAAATTACCCTAGGATACTACTTATCAAATTGTTGATCTTTTTTTATGTGTACTGATTAATGTGAAAAAAAATTCTAGAATACTCAACAATACAGATTCACTTTAGTATACTACTACTACATTGGTAGATTTGCATATTACTTTACAATACATAACCTCGTATTTTGTGTGGTAAATTTCCACTAAACTCTGCTACATGTAATGTTTTATACTACTACTAGATTCGGACCCGCGCTACAACGCGGGGGAAGATTACCGGGTTTTTAATCTTTTGTACGTTGCGGGATAATTTATTTGTGTTTGCTTTACTTTATTTGATTATTAATTAAATTCTATCATTTTTAGATTGTATTTTTGTGTTGGTTTCGAATATGTTCAAAATTATTTAAATTGTATGATTTTAGTTGGATTGTTAATTTTAGAACAATATGTGACATATATACATGTATAAATATTATACTATGAATCATTTTTAAAGTTTAGGGATTGACCCGCAGTACACCGCATAATCATAAATACATGATTTTAACTTGGACCTTTCATGCAGTTTTGTAAAATTGCAAATCTCTAGAATAAACAAA